CCATGTATTGATAGGTCGCTTCCCACTTCTTCGTCTCAAAGTCACTACCTGATCCCACCAAGTGATTGCATAGTCTATGAATTTAAGAACTGCAATTTTCACCTTCTTTTTTCCTGAGTAATTGCGGCAATCAAAGATTAACTCAATTTTCTTCTCCCAGTCCAAGTAGGTCTCCGGATCACTCCTACCTTTGAACGAAGAAATGGTCATTTTAATGTTACTCAAATTCTCATCCGCCTCGTCTCTACAGAGATTCCTACCTCTCCTTTCTTGCCTAACTCCTCTATTTCTACCCCTTCCAATATTCGCATCCACAATCACATCTTCATCCATCCCACTATCAACCTCAAATTTACTAAATTCATCCATCCTAGGTTCCCGTCTACCCTGTCTCTGTGCATTAAGACCTCCCCTTCATGTATTAGCAGGCAATGGATATTTGCCTTTCCCCACGTACATCCTGCATATCCATCTGATCCCTCATATCTACACATATCCGCTCAATCCTTCGTACCGAGTCCTCTAGCATGAAAACCTATTCATCAACTCTACCCAAACTTGATCCTTCCCTGTCAGACATCCTAAATCTAAGTTGTTTTTCTGCCTCACAATTGTTCACTCAGAATTTCACTCAATATGGCTTTTTCCCTCGATAGTTCTTACCACTTTACCTTTTAACCCTTGTTGCTTTCACCAAATCCCCAAAAGAACAATTTTGGAATTCAATCAAAAATTTAATCACGTGGAATTCAAACCGATGTGAGTGAGATTACAAGACTAAGGAATTTAGAATAATTTGACTGACAATTCAGACTACACAAGTTAAAAAAATTGACCCAAGAACGCAAAACAAGAAAGGAAATTACTGACTGAAAATTTAAACTAGATACAAAATAATAAATTGACTTAAGAAATCGGTAATTCCCAAGATCAACAATAATAATAACAATTTTTTTTTAAATTCAATTTTTTTTTACTGTACGGATGAAATGTAATTTTTTTTTTTACTCTTAGGATAGAAAAATCAAAAACAGCACTGACGCAATAAATGGAAGTTGATTTGGATGCAAATTGAATCCAAAAATAACTTTTGAAATTTTTTGTAACTTTTTTGGATTAAAGACTCTAATATACTAACTGACTCGAAGAACAGTAAAGAAAATGAATAACTGACTCAACAAGAATTAAAAAGAGATATAACCTTGGATTGGAGCCAAGCTCTGATACCAACTGATGTGAACCCGCGTAGGCAAATGCTACTGAACCCACGAACAAGATGGAAATCTTCCCAAGAAAATCAAAGCAAGGTTTTGGATTCGAATTCGATAAATCTGGAACTAAGCAGCCTGAATCGCCGACGATGTGCAGACTTCTTGATTACGCAAAATTATGGAATCTCACCCGGTTGATTTGAATGCCACAAGAATTAGATCTTGATAAGTTCGAAAGTTGTTCGATTGGAAGAACAAAGAAAAAGCAATTAAAGCCTTTCAATTAATCAATATATCAAAGGTTTTTTTTTTATACAATGAAAATAATAAGAGTATTTATACTAGTCCTAAGAATCTAGGTAATTCCGTGCATAATCTCCTAAATATGGTAAGAAATCAATTAAATATAGAATTCTAGCAAAACTAGGAAAATCGCAAAAAAAAAAAAAATTAAAAAAATGCGTCTGAAAATAACGATGCGGTCGCACGGTTCAATTCCATGCGGCCGCATGGAATTGAAGTCCGGTCCCCTTCAACTCTCGACCTAGGTCTGTGTGACCGTAGGCCATTTGTGCTGTGCGGTCGTACAACTTTGACTCTCTACTCCGTCTTCGTCCGCCTTTAACAAGTTGATCCAAGTCTCTTCGACCTTCGACCCCAACATGTAACTTGTTCCATTTTGTGTCCCGAACATGATTTCATCAACGGCTGTCTTGACGAGCAATCCCATTGCCTTTTGTACTCGCTTGAGTCATCGGACTACCCTCGACTATCAACGAATCTTTCTTCGGGCTTGACGTTGGACTTGACCTTGACGCTTGCGGCTCTTGGATCACATCACATACTCTCCACCCTGTCACTAACCGTGTTGGTATTAGCTCGTTTTTCTCGTTCTTCTCCACTGTGATTCTACCCTTTTTAGCCACAACATGCACTGGACTCACCTATGAACTATCAGAGATGTGATAGATAATACCTGTATCCAACAATTTTAGTAATTCTTTTTACACTACTTTTTTTAAGGTTGGATTTAATCTGTGTTGTCCTTCCACTGTTGGCTTTGACCCATCCTCCATTAAAATCTTGTGCATACAAAGAGTTGGACTAATTCCTCTGATGTCAGCTATTGTCCATTCAATTGCCGTTTTGTGCTGCTTTGAGTACCTCCAACAATTTATTCTCCTCTTCCTTTGTCATATCATTCGCTATGATTACTGAAATTGTTGTAGAATCTCCCAAATATGCATAACGGAGATGTGAAGGCAAGGGTTTTAGTTCAAGAGTGAGTGCTTTTTCCATTGAAGCTACTCGTGGTAAAGACTGCCAATGTCTCCTTTCTATTAGTTGCTCACCAAGTTGACAACACATTCAGCTTTTCCTGCATTTATTGCTTCCGGTTGCGCAAGTTCTGCCTCACAAAGATTTGTATGATGCTCTGTCTCAAATGTATCTGCCACAAGCTCTTCAAAAACATCTATTTGGCAGCAAGTGTTAGAAGTCATTGGATGTTTTATTTCCTCGAATATGTTAAATATGTCTTGCTCATTGTCTACCCGAAGAATCATCTTTTGATTGTAAACATCAATCAGTACTCTTCCAGTAGCCAAGAATGGTCTTCTCAAGATCAAAGGAATTTTTAAGTCCTCCTCCAAGTCCAAAATAATGAAGTCAGCCGAAAAAATAAATTTGCCAACTTTGACTAGCACATCTTCAATAATCCCCTTTGGTCGTTTGATCGATCTGTCGATCAATTGCAAAGAGATGATTGTGGGTTTTGCTTCTCCTAATCCAAGAGACCTGTAAACAAAGAGAGGCATAAGGTTAACACTAGCACCTAAGTCACATAAAAAATGCTCAAAATAATTAGACCCAATTGTGTAAGGTATCGTGAAACTCCCTAGGTCTTTTAGTTCAGGAGACAACTTTTTCAATAGAATTGCACTGCACTTCTCGTTCAGGCAGACAGTCCCATGTTCTTCCAACCTCCTTTTATTAGATAGGATCTCTTTCAAGAATTTTACATAGTTGGACATTTGGGCTATTGCACCTGCAAACGGAATATTGATGTGCAGTTTCTTGAAAATCTCTACAAACTTGGCAAACTACTTGTCCAACTTCTTTCTCTGTAACCTTTTAGGAAGGGAATAGGTGGCACATAAGCTTTCATGGGGCTGGTGTTCTCACTGTGGGTGTTTCTTTCCTTTTATCCTACTCGTTAGTTGGTTGTTCAGACTCTGCTTCTATCCCAACCTCTTCACCCATTACTTCTTTGTCTTTTATGTCTGGTCTCTTCACATGTATATCTAGAAGTTGCACTCCACTTCTGGTTGTAATAGCTTGCACTTAGTCTTTTGGATTGACCATTGTGTTGCCTGACAATGTCTCTTGTGGACGTTTTGCAAGCTGTTGAGCTATCTGACCAATTTAAGTTTTTAGTTTCTTAATGGATGCTTGCTAATTATGAATGTTAGTGTCAATCTGTCGAAACACCTTGTGTGTCTTCTGGATGTACTGGTTGACCATCTCTCCCAAACTTGGTTTTTTCTCCTGTTGTGCATTGTTTGAACTATTCCCTTGCTGATTATCCAAACATCTGAATTTTGGGTGTTGTCTCCATCCTGGGTTGTATGTTTGAGCAAATGGATTAAAATTTCGAGAGTCATTTTGAATGAAATTGACTTGTTCCTCCAAAAATCCCATAGATGTGTAGTTTTCTGTCAGATGATTAGCCCCATAGTTTTCG